CCTTCCAAAACTTGTATTTGTGTTCGTACCTTTTTTATAACAATTATTACACACATAGTTTCGAATAAAACAAACACTACATAGGCGGAGTATAGTGATTATCAAATCAATCCGTAGACTAGACCATCACGCACGTACCGGAAAAATGTCCTTGACCACCTTTTCCTAGTGTCACCAAGCCACTTCAACCAAATTCTATGAGCATGGCTTCTAAACTATATAAGCAACAAGTAGTTTGTGTCCTATATGTATCATATCATCAGTTAAAGTTAGTTTATGTTTGTTGTAGATCGATATAGCCATGTCGCTTTCAAGTAGTGTTACTGTAAAGCAATTTTAAATTAAATGTTTTTAGCCTTATCTTTTTCATGAATCATCGATATGCATGGTCGGCCACGACTCATAGATCACGACGTAACGAAGTCACGACCGGCAGTCCCCTACTACGGGCGCCGCTGCCGCATATTGTATCTGGCATCTAACGATGCCCTCACCACGGCCACGTCTCCATCACGACGGCGACGTAACGATCCATAAGTCACGGCGGCCACCGTGCAACACAACCTCATCGACCATACTTAATTGTACAGTACATCTGCGGCAGAGGGGCTAAGACGCAAACAGCCCAACGCTACTGAACAAAACTGTCTACAGGTGGGTAAATAACCCGCCTGTGGAGGCTGTGGCTAAGGGCTGGTTTTCGCACCGAGACAACGGCGGCAGCGAGAACTGGTGATGAGGACCGACTGAGCTTGACTTCTAATTTCTAGCATGATCGGTATTACTTATAAACTCAGATCGATCGAGGAGATTAGTGCTGTTTATAAGCTTCTTAGATTGACGCTATTTTTTACTACTAGTTGCACGCAATCTATTGGGCTGGGCGGTCATGGGTTCAATATAACAAGGCCTATAACAAATCCATGGAGCAATTTTCATCTCAGCCTTTGGGCTCAGGTTAGCCCATCCTTTTCCTCTAAACCCAATAATGGTCCATTGATGAAGTGGGGCCGTTATATCAAGGAAACGGCGAGCTAATGTTTTGCGGTACGCCTAGCGCCCGGACGCCCGGTGCCAGGACGCGTCCGGATGCACCTTAGAAAATAGCACTCGCGTACAGAGAACAGCGCCAACATGCGTGCGCGCGTCACCCCCTCCCCCCACGGCATATCTCCTCCACACCCCAATCTCGCCACCGCGCTACCATCTCAAGTGCGCTCCCTCTGCAAGCCCCCTGTCGCGCCCCCTTCCACAGCCCCTGCGCGCCTTGCAGCACCGGGCCCGTTTCACGCTGCACACGAGCCCCCCGCCGCCCGAGCGACAAGGGTGGAAGGGCATGCGTCTCCTCCGATTCGGAAGGACCCGACCACGGTGTCATATGGATGCCCTGCCGGCTTCGAGAGAGACGATGCAGCAAAAGGTGGGAGGAGGAGAGATGCAACACCCGATCTACTTTTGAAACATCCAAATACAATAGTTGCAACATACGTCTGAAGGCAGTTGATACATTTGAAACATGCTTCTGTAACACTTGAAAAAAACACTTCAAACACACTTGAAAACCATTACAACAATACACAACATCCAAATAAAACACATGCAACATATGTGTGAAACATATGCAACATCCAGATAACACGATTGCAACATGCATCCGGACAACATAGATGAAACATACATCTAAAACATATGAAACACTCGAAATATACTATTGTAACATGACTCTGAAAATAATTGAATCATATGCAACATGTGCAACATCCCCGATCTATTTTGCAACATCCATATGATTCAATTGTAACATACCTCTGAAACGTCTTAAACAATTGAAACATACAATTACAACATAGAGGGAGAGAGAGAGACTGGCGCGGGGAGCACCATGGCCGCCGGATTTGCGGGCATTGGGGGCTCCCAATGGGGGAGGGGCACCGCCAGGGTGGGGAGGAGCACGACGGGGTGGGGGAGGAGGATGCCAGGGTGGGTGAAGGAGCCACCGGTGTGGGGGAAGGAGCCGTGGGGTGGGGGAGGAGGATACCGCGGTGGGTGAGGAGGACGCCAGGGTGGGTGACGGCGCCGCCACCGGCTAGGGAGGAAGCCGATGGCACACGCAATAGAAGGGGCGAGAGGCGCGCGAGCGAGCGGATGGGGAGAAATGGCGTGGGATAGGGTGCGCAGCGCAGCGGAGCCTTGCGTCGTGAGTAGGCGCGCGTCACAGGAGGGAGCGAGGCGGCGTGGGAAATAAGCGAGACGGTGCGATGAATGGATAAGGCTGTTGAGAGATTAGTAGAGGAGGATGCGCGGGCGCCGTAACGAATCGTTATCTGCCGCGTCCATCTGGAACTTATCTGCCGCGTCCATCCGAACGTCAGACGTTCGAGTCAGAACATTATCGAATGTTTTGACTTCTCTAGAGCAATGGCTGATTCGGTGTTTGGCTCCGTTGAGCTGCCAGATTGCCACAAGATGACACGGAGTAGAAAATGAGAGCTAAATTGCTACTAAAACATACCAGTAGTATGCTCGTGTTAACGCCACGGTAAAACCCAAAACACGATCGAATTCATGTGACAACTTTCATATAGACACTTTTCTGACAAACAAACATAATTTCACACATATAATTCCCAACCTTTTATATTGCAGCTACAACTCAATGAAAGGTCCTCTGCCTCATAGCAAAACTCCATACTGGATATACATACATAAAGCTGTCAAGCTCATGTGAACACATTATTTACAAGCACAATGTGGTTATTTAAACAAATTTAGTGCAGCGAGTGTAGCTTTCAGTCAGCCCAGTTCACTAAAAACAGAATACATTAAAAGGAGTTCAATTAAGGTGTCCATGTTTACTGGGTTCAGACATCTTCTCTTTATCAATACTACCTTGAAGCTTGTGATCCCAAAATGATGTAGAGGAGAGCCAAAGCATATTACCTGTAAAGCAATAAAAAGATATCTAAGTATAACCGAAACTTAGGACAGCACTGAGTTATGCAGTTTGCTTCTAGCATACCAGCTTACAAAGACGGACCATAAGATAGGCACATCAGTATATATAGGCTTCTAGCTTACCAATGCCGACTCAAATCAGGAAAGCCCATCATATTTAACTTGCTTTTCTTTCTCAATTCAAACCCAACCAACATTTCACAACAGAAATGTTCTGACATTTGACCATGCTATTTCCGAGTGCATAACCATCTTTCTATTAATATCAATGGCCAAACAAATTCTGTCAAGAATGGCTTTTCTGGCAACAAACTGGCTAAATTTGTAAAAAAAAACATAACAATAGTAATCAAGGATAAAATATGATAAGAGGTCATCTCATGTTAGATATGTGCTACTTTCTTGTGCTCTTACAAACCTGACAACAATATGCAAGGCTGCAGCTAACTTGATCGAATTTCATTTGTTTTATGAATCCATTTAGTAACTGGAGTAGTTCTTCTGCTTTCTATTTCTGAAAGCATGATAGCCTACTTGCTACTTATTTTACTAATCCACAAGTAAAAAAATAATTTGCAGGATTCTAGCAATTCAAGATTTTTCTAACCCTCACTAAGCAGATATGAGCAGTGAGACATCCATAGATCCATCCTCAAAACTTAGAGGTTCTGCATTTCAGCTGAGACAATGTTCCTCGCTGTAGCGGTGTAGCCTGAAAATAAGAGTCAAGTGTTGAACAACAGAGTCCATGCTTTAACAGAGGAAGCCACTGTATTCATAAAGGTAATAGAATCCATGTAAAATTCCATAGAGCATAATTATTTGGTATTTGCAACAAAGCAAAGAAGCAAATATGAGAGTGCCCATGTGTGATCACAAACAAAACTATCATGGGGTCTCTCACTCAATGAAACAATGTACACGAATCCACAGAAAACTTCTAGGCTGAGGCATTTAGTTTTTTTTCTAACTGTATGAATTCTTAGAGAATGAAAAACTACCTATAACCTTAGCATAAAGCACAAGTCAGCTGGGAGCTCCTTGTTGCTTGCAAATAAATTGGCCACAGATTGTCCACACACAGTGACGCAGTGTAACATGGATGCTTATTAATTACTTTTTAATGCCAACCAAAACATGTATGTTAGTGAGGGAGAGTGTAAGGGCTTGTTTAGTTTCTTCCCTAAAGTTTACTCCATATCTCATCGAATGTTTGGACATATGCATGGAGTATTAAATATAGACTAAAAAAATAATTAATTACACAGTTTGCGACTAATTTGCGAGACGAATCTTTTAAGCCTAATTAGCCATGATTTGACAATGTGATGCTACAGTACACATGTGCTAATGATGGATTAATTAGGCTTAATAAACTCATCTCGCGGATTACTAATGGATTCTATAATTTATTTTTTTATTAGTATCCAAACACACCATGCGATACCCCCATGTGACATCCGATGTGACACCTAAAACTTTACACCCTGGATTTAAACAAGTCATAAAGCATAGCATAGCTGAGCTGAGCTCAACTGTGAGCTTGCCTGCAGCCCAAAAAACTGCAACGATGTGGGCTTGCTTTTGACGCATTCCACTTTAATAATTACTCACTGTGTTAAGATACTCCGTTCTGCCATTCAATTATTACCACTGCAAATATTGAAGAGTATCTCTTCTAATTATTCGTATAAATGAAAAAGATACCAATCTCTATTGATCACGATTTGTTTCCACAAAGGCACACGCACTGATGCACATACGAATGAGAAGAGAAAGCAGGCCCAGACTCAACTGGCAAATGCAGAGTAGGATCCTCTTCGTCCACTTAGAGGAACATGCAGTCTCTTGGCGGTTAGTTCTGGCGGAGTACTCTCGGCCACGGCAGGATCATCCTCCTCTGCCTAACCTTGGGGGCAGCAGCAGCAGCTGGAGGCTGGAGCTCGTTCTCCTCCATGGCGGTATGGCCAGGTCCTCCTCACTCCAGCAAACGATAAATTTGTAATAATATATAATGAAACAAGAGATAAAGCAAAGCAGTGTCCTCACTTGGTGTGGAGACCATGGTAGGCGTGCTCCATGCCATAGACGAAGAGCACGATGCAGAAGCCCTTGATCCCGACGGTGGCAGCTGTGAAGGCGACTGTGCTGCCCATGTCGTGCAGCGCGGTGGCGACCTCGGCAATCCGTGTCATGAGATGTGTGATGCGCTTGCCCCATGGCGAGTAACCGAGAAGCAGCAGCTCCGCATGGTCCTGCAAGGCGCGCGTTGTCGTTGTCGAGCGCCAGCACCATCGACTGCGCCTGCCGCATCGCCTCCCCGGCGCCCCCGCCGTCGGCACCCTCCATGTCCAGCCCGCTCCACCGCATCCATCCCCTGGGCCTCCAAAACCACCTCAAATCCATCCACATCTAGCACGGCTTGAGATGCTGCTTCGTGGAGGACGCCGCAAATCTGGGAGGGGGAAAACAGTGAGGGAGAGGGAGAGGAGGAGGGTGAGGGAGGGGAACATACGACTGAGGCCTTGCCAGCCCACGGATGAAGAAGAAGGGGCGATGCAGAAAGAAGCGGCGGAACCACGAAGGGAGCGGAGCGGCAGGGAAGGGTTGCGGCGGAGCGGCATCGCGGCGGCGTGGCTCACTCCCATCCCGGCGCCGCTGCCTGACGCCCCCAGGCACGGTCGCGATCGAGCGGCTCCTTGCCTTCCAGCCGCGCCGCCGCACCCGCCGAGGGCGTGGCCGCCGCCGCAAGCCCTAGTTGTCGCCATCGGAAGGGGCCACTCGGGCGTGCGGGCGTCGGAGAGGAACGAAGCGTTGTTTCGTTTTTTTCGAAACAAAATAAAAGTGGCACCGGAGCAGGGCAGGGATTCGATCCCTGCCTGCAGAGGCACGCGACGTGTGTGTGGAGCACGTGGGCCTTGTTTAGATGGTAAATTTTTACAATTTGGACATCGTAGCATGTTTCGTTTGTATTTGATAAACTTTGTTCGATTATGAACTAACTAGGCTTAAAAAATCCGTCTCGTGATTTACAACCAAACTATGTAATTAGTTATTTTTTTTACCTATATTTAATGCTCCATGCATACGTCCAAAAATTGATATGATAAAGAAAGTGAAAAATTTGGAATTTAGATGCAATCTAAACAAGACCTAAAGCCGCGAATCCCTGCCTACATAGGCACGCGACGTGTGTGGAGCACGTCTAAAGCCCGTGTGCGTCGGATTGAGGGCGTCGGGTGGCATCATATCAGCTGTTGGATGGGTTCGGTGCTTTATTAGCTTTATTTTAATATAGAGGAATTCTTGTGTGTAATTTTTTATGCATAATGATTGGAGATTTTTAGTGGGGGATATTTTTCTGACGAGACCTAGTATAATTTTGATTGATCCATTATAGTAGAGATATACGAATTTGTGGACAATGAAAGAAAGTGAAAAGCAAGCCACATATGACGTGTGGGGGGTACGACCCCGGATACCCACGGCAGACCACATGTGCTGTGACCCTAGGGGTGGCCCAGCCCATAAGACGAAGCCTTGCGGGGCACGACTCTGCTCGGCGCCTCCCGTAAGACACCGGGAAGATATCATGAAGATACTACGGGATTTGTTAGGATACGTATGATCCCAAGATTCCTGTAATCTGTTATTACTTTCCGGTTATCTCTCAGATCTAACCGACTTGTAACCCTGCCCCCGGACTATATAAGACGGGCAGTGACCCCCTCTAAACTCACGCAATATCATATGATACCCAATACAATCCAACAAAACACAGGAGTAGGGTATTACGTTATACTGACGGCCGGAACATGTCTAACTCATGTGTCTCTGTTGCCTTCTTGTTCTTGATTACACGCTTCTCTGCCGATCAATCTACCTTCGTGGGATACCTCTCAGAGGACCGCCGACGATATTCTGTCGACAGTTGACGCACCAGGTAGGGGCCCGTGTGTGCTGATCCATGGCGAACCAGATGGGATCTCAAGACTTACGTCCTGGCGAGATCGACTTTCATCTTGCCTGCGATGTCTACATGGAGATTTCCTGCCGAACTCAAGTCGTTGTGCGAAGACCAACAGCCCAGATCGAAAACTCACCGCCCACCGGGTGCTCGCCGTCAACGCTAACCAGATAACGTCATATGCCACCGACCAGACGCTCCGTCTAAAGCTAAGTCACGCTTTAATATTCTTCTAAATATTCCCCAATCTCCGTATATCGTCATAATGTTTCTCCGAGCTGTTTTCTCCATATTTGCTCTCCAAACGATTTTATGAACCCCCGAACAGTCATGTTGATGCTCGGACGCCTCCAGAGACGGCCCTGTCTCCGGCTCCTCCCTACACATGCTACGGGCTCCGCGCTCTGCGTTATGGGTGGTCGGCTGTGTTTCCTTGGTCACGCCTGTTCCTCCTACACGTGCACGGGCTCCGCGCTCGACGTTATGGTTAACAGGCTAGCTAGGGCTGGAGACTCAGCTACACACTAATTATTCGGACGTTTTGTATTAAATATAAATACATCTTCACACCAACTGATCGTCGAGCTGCATATGCTATTTCATCACCATTGCTGATTATTCTCCGGAGTTCATATAGTTTTACACCATGTACTACTCGTTCTACATATTTGTATTACAGGATTATCGTCTAGGTGATTGAACCACCTGGTGCTCGGACTTCTCCACCGATCAACTGGTCGGACCGCTAGGTTCATGGACTTCATCGCCGACTAGTTGATCGGACTGTTCGCCGGTCATTTCTGCTCAATGCTCACTTCGCCGCCGACCAGTTGACCAGACTGTTCATCGCTCGTGCTTCATCGCCAGCTACGCCGAGGACCCCTGGGTGCTCGGACATCGCCAGCTACGCTAAGGACTCTTCGGTGCTCGGACATCACCGGCTACGCCGGAGACTCCTCGGCAGTGCTCGAACATCGCCAGCTACGTCGGGGACTCCTCGGTGCTCGGTGCTCGGACATCGCCAGCTACGCCGGGGACTCCTCGATGCTCGGACATCGCTAGCTACACCGAGGACTCCTCGGTGCTCAGACATCGCCAGCTACGCCGGGGACTCCTCGATGCTCGGACATCGCCAGCTATGTCAGGGGACTCCCTTGATGGTCGGATCTTGCTACGTCTCATCGGTGTGCTATCAAGCTGCTCCATGTTGTTCGGATCGGGGTGCTGATCTTGGGCAGCATGTCTGGGGTCTTGATACGCGCATGTCAGACGACGTCGGCAAGCTTTCTGATTTCTTTTTCTTTGACCATGCTACAAGATTCATTCTTCATCTTCCAGCAGGCTCGGGGACTAAGTGGGCACACTTCACCTTGCGGTGAATGTGCGCTTTTTAATTTAGGGCTCTGCCCATAGACTGGTTGCCTGCTAGGACGGTCTTCTGCCTTTCTTCTACTTTCTGCCCCTGGCACCATGTGACTACGTCACCTACTGTCAGGCTTGGGGACTAGCTGTGGGGGTATGGCCCTCGGTATCCACAAGACAAGATGTGGGCTGCACCCTCAGAGGTGGCCCAGTCCACAAGATCAAGGAGTGCACGGCACTGGTCAACGTGCACCGCAAGATATTATATAGTACCAAATAGGATACTTTCCTTATAACCCTACCCCTCTAGAGTATATAAGGAGAGGCAGGGGTCCCCTAGTCATCAGATCGATACATCTCATATTCAATACAATACACCAAAGACACAGGGCGTAGGGTATTACGTTGATCAGATGGGCCGAACCTGTCTAAATCGCTGTCTCTGCGCCTTGTGTCACCATCCGGTTCCTGATTACGCGCACCCCCACCGACAAATCTACCATCGCGGGATACCCCTCGGTGGACTCCCGAGCATTGTTTGTCGACAGTTGGCGCTGCCACTGACCTGACCACCGTCGCCGCCAACCGTTCATCACTACCAAGTCCAGCAGAAGGGCCGGTTGACTCCTCCGTAGGCTGCCGAGCACCCGGGGACTCCAGGATGGGGTCCACCGGCATCTCCTCCACCCCGGGGTTAGCTTTCGGCTGCTCGTCATCCGCCCTAGGGCCAGCCTTCGGCTGCTCGTCAGTCTAGATGGGCAGGGCCGGATCCTCCGTACGCCTCGCTCTGCATCAGATCAGCTCGTCAATCGTGAAAAAATCTAAGGAACGACAGCAAAATAACCCCAAGGCAAGGATACTTACGGTTTGGTTTGCCGGTACAATTTCTTGAACCGACGCTGTCTACCCAAGCCCCCAGGCGTGGCCGTGGGGTCAACTCCCGTGCTCTGGGGTGGAGGTCCCGTTTTCTCCAACATTGGCCTCTCCTTTGCCCGCCGCTCTGGGACTTCCTCCGCCTGCTGCTCGGGGGCTCCCGTCGCCTGCTGCTCGGAGACTTCCCTCGCCCGCTGCTTGGGGACTTCTTCACCTCTCTTCAATCGTACCTCTGCGTGCGTGTTGCGCAGAGGCGCTTCAGTGTTCGGTGGAGGAGCCACCGGAGCCCCGTCATCATCCAACCACTCGGACATCGCTGCACTATGCGTCCGAGTAGGCCGGTCTCCGCCAAGTGAAATGCCGCCCGGTTTAAGGGGAGCGGCACCCGCCATCTTTCTCTATTTCTGGGCTAGCTCGTCTGCTGCTGCCCTCTTCCCCCGGACTTTCTCCGACACCAGGGATGGACTCTCCGAAGAGATGCTGATGGCTCCCTCCTTAGGCTGTGTCGGTGGTCAGGCATCTACTCCCCGCAGCCAATCTCCCCTCGGCATGCCTGAGAAGTACACCGCTCTTTCCTGCGAATGGATCTTTGCATAAGTGAATCAGTCCACTGCTCGGCAACTACAGAAGATAAAAAGCGTCAGGAACACACAACTGAGATATTTACCTGAGGAGGCAGATTCTTGCAGTTAAAGGGTCTCGTATACACTGACATGCTGAACAAGGCAAACGGAGTGAATAGCTCTACAGCTCGCTCTTGCACTACGTCCCTCGACAGCATCTCCGGCCTCTCCCGGGTACCGTCGGTCTCCCCCTTGAACTCAAAGGCGGGGTGGGCCCTCTCCTTACAGGGCTGGACGCGGCGCACTATGAAGCTCGCCGCTACCAATCCACCGTTGGTCTTCACGCCCTTAATTAATCCAAGGAGCTCCCTCACTTGCTCCATATCAGCGCTGCTTGGCATCTCCGACCAGCTCTTCTGGCTCTCCGGGACGTGGTCGGCATCGCAGCGGACGGTAGGGTGGATCTGCTTCATATAAAACCACCTGGCGTTCCACCCCTTCAGCGACATGTTTAGTGGCACAGTAAGATACTCGCCCGCCATTCCATCGCGTAGCTGAAGGTACACTCCGTCGACCACCTTGGAACCACCGTCGCCTCTCTTCTTCAGCTAGAACAGGTGGCGAAATAGATTGAAGTGGGAAAGGATTCCGAGATACGCCTCACAGAAATGGATGAAGATCGAGATATGCAAAATGGTATTTGGGTGGAGGTTGCACAGACTAACCACCCAGAACTCCAACAAATCCCTCAGAAAAGGATGAACAGGAAAATCCAATCCTCGCCAGAAGTAATCCTCAAACACCACTACTTCATCAGTATGGGGCATTGGGAAGGGCTCACCGAGGGCCGGCCACCATCCGGCGGTAACGCGGTCAGGAAGAACTCCTGCCTCCACCAATCTATTGAGCTCCGCCTCTCTCGTGCGCGACGGCACCCACTCTTCATCACGCCTAACTTCGGCACTCGCCTTCTTGGGGCTCGTCTTCTTTGGCTTCACAGCTCTTTTCTTCGGCGCCATCTCTCAGATCTGGTTAGGGTTTGACGGCGGAAGCAAATATGGATGTGAATCTGGAAGAGTGAGGGTTGAGGAGGAAGACGAAATGGCAAAGAGGCAAAGGTGGGAGCGCGGGGTGCGGCAGCGCAGTTATAAAGCACTTCCCCCCCTTCGCATTCGAGGGTTTTTGGAAAACCATTCCCGCGATTTGCGTCTCTCCGAATTCTCTGCAACAGCAAGCTAGGCCATTACCTGGGCTTACGCGTAACCGTGGCCCGTATCGCCCGTTTATCTCCGCAATTTGCTATGGCTCGCCAAATATTCGTCGACTTCTCTACCAACCGTTACGGCTCAGTAATTACTACTGTACAGCCATTACTCCGGTATTTTCTCCGTGATTCTGTTTTCTCCAGGATTTCCTCTTGTGGCCCGGGGACTGCGTCAACATTACGTCTCAGTTCCTCACCGCATTTGGGATTTTTTTCTTTAATTGACTGTTGTTTCTGACCCTGGCACTACGTGACCACGTCACCTACTGTCAGACTCGAGGACTAAGTGGGCACACTTCACCTTACGGTGAATGTGCTTTTTCATATTTCGGGGCTACGCCCGGGGACTGGCTGTCTGCTCGGTTGGTCCTCTACTTTTCTTCTATTTTGGACCCTAGCACCACATGACTACGTCATCTATTGTCAGACTCGGAGACTAAGTGGGCACACTTCACCTCACGGTGAATGTGTTTGCTTTATTCTGGAAGACTCCGTACCTCTTAAAGCTGAAGAAGACTATCTCCTTTTCTCGTGGTCGGACTCTAAGTGGGCACACTTGGTCCATTGCGAAGAAATTTTCAATTCTGAACTTGAGCTCCTTACACCCTTATGATAAGCTGTACTTGGGATTACACTGCTCGGCGACGGTTCCCACCGCTCGGCAACTGCTCACAATTGCTCGGCAACTCATCACGGTGGTCGGACCATGAGTTTGACTGCTCGGCTTTGTTCGCACATGCTCGGACAAGCTCAAGACAGCGTTGCATCTGCTCGGCGCCTTCCGCAAGACACCAGAAAGACATCCTGAAGATACTACGAGATCTGTTAGGATACGTATGATCCCAAGATTTCTGTAATCTGTTATTACTTTCCGGTTATCTCTCAGATCTAACCGACTTGTAACCCTGCCCTCCGGACTATATAAGGCGGGCAGGGATCCCTCCAAACTCACGCAATATCATACGGGGCACGTTTAGTTGGCCGGAATTTGGATGTGCAAAGTTTGCCTAGTGCCAGATTCCCTACTGTAGCATTTCGTTTGTATTTGGTAATAATTGTTCAACCGTTGACTAATTAGGCTTAAAATGTTCGTCTCGTAAAGTACAACCAAACTGTGCAATTAGTTTTTAATTTCGTCTACTTTTAGCATTTCATGCATGTACCGTAAGTTTGATGTGACGGGGAATCTTCTTTTTGCATAGTGCCAAAGTTAGGAGTTGGGGGGAACTAAACAAGGGCACGATAGCTAATACAATCCAACAGAACACAGGAGTAGGGTATTATGTCATACTGACGGCCTGAACCTGTTTAACTCGTGTGTCTCTGTTGTCTTCTTGTTCTTGATTACATGCCTCTCTGTCGATCAATCTACTTTCATGTGATACTCCTCGGATGACTGCCGACGATATTCTGTCGACATGACGTGTGGCCTCGGTGCTTGAATCCTTCTTCGGACGTCGCGTGGCATCATCCACTGACCGGTGGTCCAGACTCCATCGTGAGCATAAAAATTGAACGTCCAACCTACGACGGCCGCACTCCATTTCTTTCGACACAGATACGTGCGCATCTCTCCACTGTGTTTCGAAACATGCACAACGTTTAATTTCGTTCTGTTCGCTTGGGCTTGTTTGGCTAATAAGACATGGCTGAAAGTACTGTTGGTTGATTTGGTGTGAGAGAAAAATAATATTCGTTGGTTGAAAAAGTACGATTTATAAGCCTAAACAAACCCAGCGAACAGGGTGTTTATCCGTAGCATATCGAGGACTGTTTTGGAGACACCTATCACAATCCATTCCAAAATTTTACACCTCAACACGACATATAAAAAAAAACGCGAGTTTAGTTTCGACACTCTTCTCCTCGCGCCTAAACCTGTATCACGCGCGGTTAACTGCTGCACCAACCGCGGGGCCACATTGGTGGTGGGGGGCAAAAAGGAAGCGAACAACCGAAGAAACGCCTGCTGCCCTAATCCGCCGCCGCCGCTGGCGAGTTCGTTGGGGTCAGAGCATGCAACGGAGGGGCGAGCGGGTCAAAGTGCCCATCCACGGACTCCGTGCGCCGGACGGCGTCTGCTTGGTGCTCCTCGCTCGTCTTCTCCGCAACCTTTCGTCTGACCTTTTGCTCGCTTCTGCTCCCACGACCACGAGTACATAGAAGGTAGTACGAAAGTGCCCTGCCGCAGCCGCCGTGCCATTGAAGGCGCGGGGACAGCGACGTCGACAGGCTGGTCAGCGGTCACTCAGACTGGTGGATCGCTCCTCTTCTCTTCGGGACTCCTCTCCAAAGGGAGCTAGCCCCTGATTCCCTGAAGCAACCTCTGAATAAACTACTACTACACCGTGATCCGCATAAAAATTTCTGCGTCCCCCCGCGCGCTCCGTGACCGTGAGACGCGGTAATTAAACCACTCGGCAGTCACCGGCCGCGAGCATCAGACCAGCAGCAGGCAGGCAGTCAGGCAGTCACATCTCCAGGACTCGAGAATGGCCGCCGCCGCCGCCGCAGCCTCAACCTCCACCCTTCGTCCTGCTCTCTCCCAAGGTGCGCCCATGGATACACACACCCGCTTCAGAATCCTCCTCCCGCCGATTCGTCTGCTTGTTTTCTCCAACTCCGATCCTAGCTAGTTTGATCGATGACTTTGGATAGTAGCTCGTCGACCTCATTAACCTTGCCAGGTACTTCTTGCTTCGTCTTTCTTCTTTGGATAGGTGGGAGCAAGAACCTCTTCTTCTCTACCTGGCTCGGTCAGGTTCAGCTTGGGGAACCTTGTGCCGCCCTTGCAATTTTTTAGCTTTCTTTCTGCCAACACAAATCTCCAGGAGTATACTATGTTATCGTTTTGAACTTTTGATGCTGTTTGTTGGCCACTCCCCATCCCAGCATCGAGTAGCATATATATCTAGTTGTTCAACGCATCTGAATATCATTATTTTTAGTACTGTGTCTCTGTTTCTTCAGATAGTTGGGGAGTATCAGATAACAGGAACCATGGTTGCATGATTGCATCCATGAATGATTGCATAAAGGTTCGATTTTTGACGATTTCAGAAGCATGTTTAGCAGGTTCTTTCACCTTTGGGTGGGGTGGGGTTTTGACGACTTAGAATGTTAAACCCAAGTCGCAGAAGGGACCATTTTTGTGTTCTGATCGGGTAGTTGGGATACTTTATAAATAGTATGTGATTGGGTCGTAGCTAGGCCAGGCATTAAAAGTTGGCCGATAAATTTCAAGAATTATTAGGTTCAAAATAGACCGGGTTGATTTTTACATGTTTGGGAGCCAGTGGCGGACCCAGGAATTGAACCGAGCCTGGGCAAAGTCAGAGGAAGTTTTCTTCTTCATCTTAGCATAGAACAGGGCTACCACCACAGACCACGAATATGATCACATATATGAATGCTAGCCTTTTTTTTCATGGCCGCATGTACCTAAGCACATTTTTATTAAGAAGAAAAAAGTTATAATAATGGATGATCTTAGTAAATATAGGCTTATTAAGATCAACACGGCCTCTGCAAGACTAATCTTATAGTATGGACCCTAAGGCTCTTCTGACATTATACATCGTGCTAGCGTTCGGCTGAAGGTGGTGATGCGTGTTGGTTACGTGGTATCAGGAAATCCTGTCAAGTGATCGTGAGTTAGTTTAATTTGCACTCTATAAGGAGTAGCTATTCATTTGCTGCATAATCCTAACCTATCTAGTTTTGGATAGTGCGTACGTACTAGGCTAAGGAAATATAAAGTTACCCGTAATATAACACATCCAGGAGCCACAAAACAGAAGCATGAGATACATTATTAGAGGTTTGACAGCGGCAATATAATGGTAGTAGTTTTACTAGAAAGTGATATGTGCCAGCTAGTGTCGTTCTTCACCTAGCAATAGCAGGTGCTCCGCTCAGCTCAGGCTCAATTTGCTTGACGGGCGTTCAATTTTCTGTAGCAGCGATTGTAGAATACCACTAAAAAAGCGTTGGAGCCGGGCAGCTGCCCACGCTCGCCGGGCCTTGGGACCGCCCTTGTTGGGAGCAGCTCTGGGTGTGTTTGGGAGGGCTAAGGAGCCAAAGCCGTTTTTCCCATAAAATGTTTGATAGGGCTCCTCCAAAGGAGCCGCAGCCGAGAAGGAGACATATCAAATAGGCTCAAACCGTTTGGTAAGGCTCCTCCAGAGGAGCCAAAAATGATTAACTGGTTGAGTTGGCCTGTGAAAGGGCATTACCATCTCTAGAGACCAGTGTATACATGTTTTGATTCCAATCTAGGTTACGATATAGTTATAATAATCTAGATTATGGATTATGATAATATAAACTGTTTGGATTCTTCAATTACCTTAGGTGCCCTTGCATGCTGCAGCTTTTTCTTGCGGTGCCAAGGGTGGAGGCGCAAGTTTTTTTTTTTGAGTTCATAATCTCCTATCAGTATTTGCAAAAATAAAACTCCAATCAGTAGGTCTCACGTGGATTACAAAATAATTATAATCTGATGCTTGGATTATAATAATTTATCACACAATCTCTTATGTTTGGATCACCATTAAATTATTTTAGCTGATTATTATAATCTAACGATTCAGATTTGTTGAAATACAACATTTGATTTTCAATTATTCGGGATGGTCTTACAACTACAAACAACACGGAGGGTTATTCTTAGCCTTGTTTTGCAACACATTATGGACCAGGGCTACTAGTAAAGCTCGTGAGGCCGAGCTGTGTAAACACTTAGTATTCTTAGCCTTGTTTTGCAACACATTATGGACCAGGGCTTTGTCCTTAGAATTCTAAAAAAAAACTACAAAGATAATCTAGAGCTTTTATCGGCATTGGCAAATTAGTAGGTGCTACTGATGGCTATTTTCGTTAAATCTTGTTCATCTTGGTGGATGACAATGCAAACACCAACCTGACGACATACATTCTTACGCAGCAGCAGGGCCAGAGCAGAGCGCTTCACTGCTGTGCACACCGAAACACCGAGTTGCTGCCAGTGCCAGCAGGAGAAGCTTGAGATTCACCGCTAGGGCCAGCTCGAATCCGGGCGCCAAGGTGAGCATCCCGAAGCAATGGTACAACCTCATCGCCGACCTGCCGGTGAAGCCGCCGCCACCGCTGCACCCGCAGACGCACCAGCCTCTGAATCCCAGCGACCTCTCCCCTCTGTTCCCCGACGAGCTGATCAGGCAGGAGGTCACCGACGAGCGCTTCGTCGACATACCCGAGGAGGTCATCGACGTGTACAAGCTCTGGCGCCCGACGCCCCTGATCAGGTACATCATGACGTTTTTTTTGTGTCGATCAATAGCTGCTGCTGCTGCTGCTGCGCGATCAGAGATTCAGAGTATGGAGTGAGTGAACACAATGCTGGCAATGCAACGTTCAGGGCCAGGAGGCTGGAGAAGCTGCTCGGCACGCCGGCGAAGATCTACTACAAGTACGAGGGGACCAGCCCGGCGGGGTCGCACAAGCCCAACACCGCCGTGCCGCAGGCGTGGTACAACGCCGCGGCAGGGGTGAAGAACGTGGTCACCGAGACCGGCGCCGGCCAGTGGGGCAGCGCGCTGTCCTTCGCCAGCAGCCTCTTCGGCCTCAACTGCGAGGTGAGCGCGCATTTCTTTCTCACCGCGAGATCGCGAGGCCACTCCTCTCCTCTGTTCGTGAATCGTGGTTGGTTTATTGCTCGGGCAAGATTCGGTTCGTTGCTGAATTTTGCGGTGGCACCGGCGCTAATGACGAATGCAGGTGTGGCAAGTGCGCGCGTCGTTCGACCAGAAGCCGTACCGGAGGCTGATGATGGAGACGTGGGGCGCCAAGGTGCACCCGTCGCCGTCGACGGCGACGGAGGCCGGCAAGAAGATCCTGGAGGCGGACCCGTCCAGCCCCGGCAGCCTCGGGATCGCTATCTCCGAGGCGGTGGAGGTGGCGGCCACCAACGCCGACACCAAGTACTGCCTGGGCAGCGTGCTCAACCACGTCCTCCTCCACCAGACCGTCATCGGGGAGGAGTGCCTGGAGCAGCTGGCGGCGCTCGGCGAGACGCCCGACGTCGTCATCGGCTGCACCGGCGGCGGGTCCAACTTTGGCGGGCTCGCGTTCCCGTTCTTGCGCGAGAAGCTGCGCGGCAACATGAGCCCCGCGTTCAGGGCCGTGGAGCCCGCGGCGTGCCCCACGCTCACGAAGGGCGTCTACGCCTACGACTTCGGCGACACGGCCGGGCTCACGCCGCTGATGAAGATGCACACCCTCGGCCACGGCTTCGTCCCCGACCCGATCCATGCAGGTTTCTTTTCTTCACACGCTTTCTTGCCTCCTCGATTAGTCTGTTGTTTGTTCTTCTTCTTGCTGATCGAGCAATGCGTGCACTTCTATTCGTTGCAGGTGGGCTTCGCTACCATGGAATGGCACCTCTGATCTCGCACGTGTACGAGCTGGGCTTCATGGACGCCATCGCGATACAGCAGACTGAATGCTTTCAAGGTATCCTACTATACCTTTCGTCAATGACAATGAGACTTTTCAACAAGGAAATGCATGAAAGAAGAATAACATCATAACACTGGCGTCCATGAACCGTGGAGCAGCTGCCTTGCAATTCGCCAGGACGGAGGGAATCATCCCGGCGCCGGAACCGACGCACGCGATCGCGGCGGCGATCAGGGAGGCGCTGGAGTGCAAGCGGACCGGAGAGGAGAAGGTCATCCTGATGGCCATGTGCGGCCACGGCCACTTCGACCTCGCCGCGTACGAGAAGTACCTGAGGGGCGACATGGTCGATCTCTCGCACCCGGCGGAGAAGCTAGAGGCCTCCCTCGCTGCCGTGCCCAAAGTCTGACGGCGTTGGAGCGAAAGGCACATGCAACTGCAATGGAACAAATGATACATTGATATCGCGTTTTTTAATCTTGTGGTGATCCATCGGCAGTGGATTTTGGCAGCTGAGATACTTGCGCTCCATTTGAAATGCATGAACAAAATTTCAATAAAAGGATTAATTTATCCTATTCATGGATATGTTTGGTCTTTCTTTTTGAGGGTATTATTTGATACAGTATACACTTTTAAGTTTGAACTCTAAACTTGACCTAGAAGCATCTCATACCTAATGTACTAAGATTTACTTCCAAATACTACACTTTTTACCACTTTATTTGTTTGAAAATACTTGACAACTACGTATCATTATTTTTCATTAGTTATAAATTATACCTTTTGATGTCATCATTTTGTGTTTCTCTTATAAAAGTCAATAAAAAGTTTGACTCTACGTGAACGACTTTAGAAATTACAAAAAGATTTACTTCCAAATATTTTTACCATTTGTTTGTCTATAAAAGATAAATTGCATTGGCATTTGCCTTTATAAAACCAATAAAAAACACTACGTGAACGTTTTAGAAATTTTGTCTTTTTAGGGCCATTTTGACCATTTCATCTATAAAAGATAAATTGCATTGGCAACTGCGTACTAATGAAAACCGTATCGGTAAAGGAGCATTTTGTCTACGGCGGTGCTAGGCTCAAGCGCGTCCGCACGCCCACGCTTACTTTCATTTCTCGCGCTCCACGCTTGCTCCATGTAAGGCGTGTTCCACGCAGTGCGCGAGCGAGCTGACAAGAGAGGAAGGGGACGGCACGTCTGATTCGGAAGGACCCGGCCACGACGTCATATGGATGCCCTGCCGGTGCTGGGAGGAGGACACACCAAGACGATGCAACAAAAGGTGAGGAGAGATGCAACACCTGATTTGCTTTTGAAACATCCAAATACAACATTTACAACATACGTCTGAAGGCAGATGAAACACTTAAAACATGCTTCTGAAACACTTGAAAAAACACATGAAAACCATTGCAAATATACGCAACTATCCAGATAAAACACATGCAACGTATGTGTGAAACATATGCAACATCCACATAAACACACTTGCAGCATGCGTCCGGAAAACAAAGATGAAACATTGGTAAGTTGCAACATACGTATACAACAATTTACAACATATGCAACATCCTAATATTTTTTCGTAACATCCATCTAAAACACTTGCACCATACCTCTCAAACATTTGAAACACTCGAAACATACACGCTTGCAACATGCGCTTTCAGCAAAACATGGCAGCTAGGCGGGCGGAGCACGTCACAGGGATCCCCGCTGTGTGGTCACGGTGGAGAAAGAGGAGATGCCAGTGGGCGGGTGGCTGTGCGACCCCAAGGAGATAGGGCGCACGCGGTGGAGGTGACAACAGTAGTCAGTGGTGTCGCTTCGCGCGGCGAGCACACCACGGCAGTGAGGGCATGGCGGCGGTGGAGAGGAAGGCTGGCGGGAGGCGCGGTAGAGAGGGAGGCATGCGGGAGCTGCAGTGGAGCCGGTCATGGTGATGCGTGAATTTTTTTTAATCCTGTGGTGACTGGAGAGGAGCAGAGGGAGCGGATAGAAACATCAGCTTCTGGACGTCGGGTCCATCGACAGGAGCGTTCGACGCGGACGGACGTTACTCCCAACATTACCGTTTTGTTTTGTTTTTCTTTCACAATTTCGCAAAATGCAACTCGGCACATATACTGTAGCTAGGGACGAAAACGGTACGGATATTTTCCGACCGTATTCGAGTCCCAATCCGTTTAGAGGGGTTCAGATCTATCCGTATCCAAGTCCGGATGTTCAACATCCGATACCGTATCCGTATCCAAATACTCAAATCGCATATTTATGATGTCGACATCCAATCGTATCTTATCCGACATGGCTGACGCTATCCATATTTGGATCTGAATCTGAACAGAAATATAAAAATAAACAAATATAATATCAGTGATATCCGTCTGTATCCGATCGTTCCTCTCCCACTCCCTCCAAAGTCCAAACGGGCCCTCATATGCATGATCGCTGGGCTGGCTGGGCTGGCCAGCCCCCTCACATGAGTACTGTTCATCTAAACCAGCCAGCAACACATCTCTCGCACATAAACAAACCAGCAACTATACGAACCGGCCAACCGAACAGACTGCATAAGACTGCATATATGGACCAAGAAACACAATCGTTCCATATGGGCCAAATTCGTCTACTGAGCCCAAGAATTTTAATCAATCAGTCCACTCTCCTCCACAACCAGCCTCCAAGCCGTCCGAGGGTTCCGAAACTCGAGCTACTCTCGGCGTTCACGGCGCCTGCGACCACCCACCGCGTCCTCCGCCTTGTCCTCAACCTCACCCCCATCCGGCGAGGTTTCTCCGCTCTCATATAGGTGAGGTCCCAAAGGCCCAAACCCCCTGCTCCTCTGCGTTCTCTGCGGACTTCGGATTGAGTGGCGCTGACCGCGTTGGCGGGTATCAGATATGAAGAGGGCGGTGCCGTCGGAGGAGCCCCTCGACGTGTCTTCCGGCGACTCCTCGGCCTCAGATTCCGACCAAGTAGGCGCGAAGGAGAAGGGCGGGAGCGCCTCCAAAGCTGCTGCTGCGGGAGAAGGTGAGACCTCTCCGGTTGTTTACTGACTCTAGATCTGCTAATTTCATTGCATATGCGTGTTTCACTCGCGGATAGACTGATGCCTTGGTATGGTTGTTTGATGGTTCACTTTGACTGTTGAAACTTTTATTTAGTCTCCATTGGCCCTGAGATGATTGATTGCCCAATTACGAGTAGTCTGGTCAATTGTTAGTGTGTGGTCACCAGGGGCGTAGTTCTTATTGTTCAGTTTTCACCTTTCCGTAGATGCAACATAGGCCATACTTCCATAGGTTTAATATTGACAAACTAATATATAAAGGTTACCTTTTAACATCTATGAAGATTGTCTCCTAATGGAGTGGCACTGACCTTGTTTCTGATTATAAGATATGAAGAGGGTGGTGCTGCATAAGGAATCCCATGACGTATCTTCCGATGATGACTTGAGCTCGGATTCCAACGACGATGCTGGGGAGGGGAATGGTTGGAATGCCTTTGGGCTGCCCAATTCCTCCAAATCTGCTTCGGTGGCAGAAGGTGAGGGATTTTGATTCGTGAATGACTTCGCTTTTTGTGTGTTTCACTTGCGGATAGGACTAGGCGACGAATTGATATGATTGATAATTGATTGATGATGTACTGTGACTGTTGAAGTTTGTGTATTGTGGATTGGGCTTAAGTTGACACCTGGTTTTGAGTAGGCTAGTCTCCGGGTTTCACCTTCTCAACGATGCAGCACAGGTCATAAGACTTATATTTGCAGCAATACATGAACACTACTGCTTGGGAACCCTGTATGAAGACTACTGCTTATTGGTCCAGGACTGTGGTCTTCTCAGATCAAATTGAATGTAGAGGGAATAATAAAAAGCTAGTTACTGGAGAGACTTGCTTAGTTGATATTTATTTGCCTTACAAAAGTTGGTTTGCAACTGAAAAATAGGCTGAACAAGTTTTGTTTAAAAAATGAAGAAAGCTACTTAAGCAACGTAATCACCATAACCAGAGCTCTCTTTGAACATGGTATTCTTCATGTGATTGAGTGAACTCTGATTTATTGGCTTGTTTTCCATGGAAAGTTGTCAGCTTATCAATGTAGTCTTGTCCTTGAGTTAATTGGATAGTTCAAGTTTTGAGTTTCCCAAACTGATGGTCAGCATATTAATACAGCAGCTTGGATTTTTGGGAAAGATTAGGTTTCCTATTCTTTTTTACAGACTGCAATAGCACTAAACAGGCTCGCCTTACCTGACCCCAAAGTTTCGCTTTCAGCTGCAGCTGCCGGTTTACCAGCCAATACCTGTATCTGGTTAACTGGTTTATTTAGGAAATTTGTTCCTGATTTTTTCCAAGGAATAGTTTGTGCAAATAAGGAAGATGCTTTTAAAATATGGCTTTAGTGTTTTTTGTTGCAACTTTTTTTTGGTAACTACAACCCAAATTACAATCTCAATTCAGTTATTACAACTAAGATTAAATTCTTAGATTTAAAAATGTCCCTTGAGAAAAAAAAACTAGTTTTTTAACTGGGCACCTCTGAGACATGGACTGAGCTGTCACAGATCCTCGGGAATGATGATCTTTCTAATGCGGTAATGGGATCATGCAGGTTCTCTGATCAGGAGGGCCGAAATGTATCAGCAATACATGAAGCACATTCCTGTTCCTGCTTACTGTGATTCTGTAATCCCATTCACATCGTGGCTGGGACTCGCTGGATCGCTGAAGCAGTTGTATGAACAACCCTTGCATTACCTCACCAATGTCCTCCTAAAAAGTGGGATCAGCAAAGGATTGGGAGTGATGATGAGCACCGGCGTCTGGATGCTATCATCCACCCTGTCAGAGCTGAGACCCTAATTTGGGCCACTGAAGAGGCCCATAGGCTGACCACCTCTGGCCAGCACTTAGCTAGTCTCTGGGCCTCAGATCCCATGTACCATGCTTACGTAGATCCAGTGTTTCCTTCCATAAAGTTGGACTAGCAGACGTTTACGAGTTGGGTCTTCTTATTCTGTCTATTTTGGGGTTTCCATGTTGTAAGCCTGACACAGTTTGATTTGCTAAATAGCAAGTACCAATACAGTGATACGAATTCCACATGATGCTTGTTCTGACTTCTGAGTATGATATCTTCTTGTTAGAGTTTATTTTAACATTAATTTTAGCTCTATGAACAGCGGCCAAGTCAAAGAAGAAGAAAACTGGTGTGGATTTTAGTTCTTTGAGCCGGCATGGATACCATGGTGGCCCATCTGTCTTGACAGTTCGTCCAGTAGAGGAAGCTAACTGGTCTTGGTCCACTGGGAAAGACCGCAATGACAAAGAAGATGCACCTGAATCCTATGAAGAACGTGAGCGAACCAGGGCTGCAGTGACTGAAGGAGAGAAGCTTATCGGTCTGCATAATGCCCCGCCGAACCAGTTATTATTAGAGAAAGACAAGAAGGATGCTTCCTTCTCACAGAAGGAGAAGCGGAAGAGGGACCGGGGGCAAGCCAGCAGGGGGAAGAACTATGTTGAGGAGGAGAAGCGGCTCCTGAGGGGGAGCGGCGTGTACTCTGGCTTTGATACTAACAGTACCAGGTACAAATACAGCAAGACTTCGAACATGTATGCCTACTGAGGATTAGCTTTCATCGTGTGCTTTGGCTGTTTTTGTGTGGCCGGTAAGTTGACCCTTGGGTCGGTGAGTGTGGACTGTGGAGCTGGTTAGGGTTATGTTTAGTTTGGGCTTTGGATATGGCTATGTATTGGGGTCAAATAGTACCGCTGACATATTCTGTATGTCATGTCTTGCAGCATTTGCGAGTTGCCACAATGATTACATAAATTTTGAATTCCAAAATCTTTTGAACATATTTGCTTCAAATTGGAAGTTACCTTTGATGTCAGAGTTTAATGGCTTGCTCAGCGAGTAGTCTACCATGCTGTCCGTCACACTTATATGAAGAGTTTACAAACTCGCAGACTCACAGAGCTATGGCATGTCATTCTACTTCTGTTACATAATCCATGTATGCATTACTAAAAAGGACATTGAGATGAAGCCCTAATTATTAGCTGGGCTGATTGATATGTTGTTGGATAGTTGGTTGGAGGTACAAAGGATTATTGGCACCTGTTTGCCCTTCCACTAGCTAATGAAATAATTATTGGCTGCCCTAGGTCTATTAGCAAGCCTATTATGCGCTACAACTACTACACCCTCCAGTCCCCTTTATAAGGTGAACGTGCATATCAAGGTTCAAGGTTTACAATTTTTGACTAATAATAATTTGCCCAAGAATTTTTAATAACTATTAAAATACAAACTTAATACAGTTATATTTGTAATAACATGTAATCCCATGATCATTTTTATAGTCATAAAAACTACTACAAATGTAATATCCAATACGAGCATTAAATCGATTATATAGGAAATGAAGTCATGTGTCTTTTGTATTAGCTCTTAATGTGCCTTACAATTTATGTTATACTATAGATTCTAGGACGGAGGGAGTATTTATGTGTTTTCTCCAATATCATGATTGACACAAACAATTTTGAAAGTGTATTTAGGTTCTATGTGAGTTTTTGGTAGATTGAATGACAATACGATTAAGGGTAAAAAAAAATTGGTGAGATTTGGGCTCAAATACATGTGTTTGGTCCTAGGTTAATTAATATATTTGGGCTCAAATGAAACAGATGTGATGCAAATGGGATTGAGTCTATAAAACATAGAAAATACAAGCTTATGTTTTTTTTATTGGAATACAAGCTTATGTCGGCAATGACAAAAACACGCATGGCGTATAATTCGGTGCAAGGTCTTGCACGTAAAGCTTACTGATATTATGGAATATTAAAAATAGGATTTGACCATCAAGACTTCTGGCACTGGGGGAGGGAGAAGAAACTCATGTGGGGAAGCAAAAAGAGAAGATGTTATTGCTGCTGTTCAAGCCACTAAATAGTAAAAAAATGGCAAGACTGATTTCTCAAATCGGCCTAATTAAGGTGGATCAAAGACCCATGCACACGTACAAACCAAAGCATTCAGAGATTGGAATTTAGAAGGCTAATAAGATCAAAATATCTAGTAGACAGGTGCAATCATAATCAATTTTTGATCGACTTATGAGCAAGTATACCAACCTAAAAACCGATTCAATGAATCAGCCTATTAAAAAAGAAGTCCAGTGGCCTCCAAAGCAAATTCATGTGCTTAGAAGGAGGCTCTCGCTGCTCTTGTGGAGGCTATTAAGCAAACATTTCTTACAATTGGCTCCATGGAGGTGCCAATCAATGAGATCAAAGAGCCGGTTGTCATTGAGAATTTGGCTCATTCCACTATGCTAAAAGTGAAGTTAGGAGTTGCTGCAAATAAAGATAAAAGCCGAGGGCAACAATACGGATTCCAAATACTTCCTACAAAGATGGTGCTGACACAAATTTCAGTGCACTTGTTATAAGAAAATCAAGCAAAAAGCCTAGAACTGCTTGAAATATGGCTGATATACACTTATCACCCTTATAACAATATGGTTGATGTATACATCACCCTTAGACTAAACATAGACGATGAACTCGACATCGTTGATATAACCGTCATGTTTTTTTAAACTCGCATATGCTTCACTTAAAAAAAGGGAGGGTGTATGTTGATAGTCAAAATATGATCTAAGAGTCGAAGGTGGACATGAAAATCAAGGATCAATTTTGAATTTATTTAGGCCAAGTTTGAGAAGCATCTCTGGGCGCCAGTTGTTAAAACCGTCCCAGGCCGGTTTAAGCAAAGATTGCGGGCAGATGGAAAAAAAACTGGCCCAAGCCGGTTTTGGCTAGGAGTTCGACTAGGGTACTGTTGAAACTAGCCCAGGCCACTTTTGGCAATCTAAACCCCAAATCGTATTTTCCTTTCAAAACTCATCAAATCTCATGGGGAATTTGTAAATTGCAGGTGTAATAAGTTTTCTTCTGAAATAAGACCACTTGACCTATTTAGAGATCCATATATCCAATCATCAAAAACACCTATCTACTTTACTTTTTATCTCCAAACCTTAACTTTCAACACCATTGTTGTTCAACATTTCTTTCGATGAGATTTGCTGGTGTTTTAGGTGGCCTTGCCAATCCTGCTAAGTGTATATTTGATATAGGTCTTTCCAGGAGGTGTTCGTGGTTGTTTCATGCTAAGAACAAGCGTTAAATCAGCCTCGTCAGCTTGCTAATTGGCTCAGTCATTTAGACCTACCTTTGTTGCGGATTAGGTCGTGTGTGCGCCTTAGGCGATCTAACCCTTGGTAATGTGTTGACCAGAATTTGCGTCAAATAAATACCAACATCCGATTCACGATACTACACTTTTGACCACTTTATTTGTTTCAAATTCATGGTGCTTTGGATACCATTTTTTCTTGTTTGCCCCTATAAAATTACTACATGAATGTCCTAGAAACATTTAAATTATACCACTTTATTTGTTTCAAATTCATGGCGCTTTGAATACCATTTTTTCCTTGTTTGCCCCCCTATTAGAGTACTACATGAATGTCCTAGAAACATTTAAACTATAATTGTAGAAGAGTACTCTAGTTATTTTATTGTAAAAAAATGGATCATCTTGGTACAAGCGTGGCTTGGTAAAAAAAATGCCAAGTATTTCGAAACGGAGGCGGCATGGTGCAATTTGTGTGTTTGAATGCCCCTAAAATCTAGCTTGTTTGGATTGGATCATGGGATTCAAAGATTTTTTTTTATATTCTTAAAATCAGCTGAGATCTAAACGGTGCCTAAGTTCTAAAGCACTCTGCAATTCTAAGAATCTGTGCGTCGAAATATTTTTAGAATTTAAGATTTTTTTGTCAGATTTTTAGAATGTGTCCGAATCTAAACGGGCTGATAATCACCTGGAAAAGCCCAGCACCAGCAGAGTGGGAATCGGCTCGCTCCTCGCCCAGCAACGCTGCTGATACTCTCCGAGTGTCTCGGGTGTTTGTTTGGAATGCCTGCGCATCACACGGATCATTGGAATGCCAGGGATCGTCGGCTCGGAACGCTGGATCTGAACCGTACACAGGTAAGGCGGTGGATCCGACGCCTGTGAAGGTGGGTCACGCGGCCAACCAGGAGAATATAACCAGTGCAAGTAATACTAGTTCAACAATGGAGTAGTATAATTAAGCATCTTGCTTATGTTCAAAACCATGGCAGCTACATAATGTTGTTGCTGCTGTCTCCATGCTGACATGCTGTTGTGCGATGCTCCACCATGCCGTTGCTGCCACCGAGCTGCTGTGTGACGCTCCATGTTGTTGCTGCTGTGCGACGCCTCCGCGCGCCACAGGTCGCCTCTGGCCACCACCGAGCTCTCCACGTCGTTCGTCCTACGTCATACGTCACAGACAGGTTCATGCTCCCCTGCGCCCGCGCGAACCTCCCGGAGGAGCCGAGGGAGTCGTCACCGCCGCCGGTGGCCCCGTTCTTGCTGACCGTGGCCGACGGTCCGGCCGCCGATCTCCCGCCATTTCTTCTTCCTGGCGTTGCGCCGGCGCCGGAGTAGGCGTTGTTGATGCGGATTATCGTAAATCATTCTCCGTGTAGTAAACCGAATGTGTCATTATGGTAACTCGACTATGGTAAATGATAATGCGGATTATTGTAAATCATTATTGTCCAGTTACGATTTTTTGTTAGTTTATTTGCACGTTAATTTTGCTCGCTTTTTGGTAAATCACTAGCCACATTATCGTCACTTCTAACATGGGGAGGCATCATATATTCTAGTAAATCATTTAAAAATAACAAGATTATGGTATTGTGAATCATACAGATTATCGTAACTAGCTGTTGTGATTATAAAAATCTCTTTAAATGGATCTCAAATTGTGTTAACTCCATATTCTGATTATCGTAATTGGTTCATGGTAGATTATGGTAAGTGGTACCTTAGAGCACCATAACACTAAATTATGGTAAGAATATATCCTAATTATCGTCTCGAAACATACAAATTATGGTAACTACAGAGCGCATGCCAAACTATGGTAACTACCCCTATAAAACAACGTGCCCAACTATGATTAGCGTACACGTTTTATAAAACAACTGGGAAATCAAATCGTATAGCTATTGTCATCTACAGTACCATAATTAAATAATGCACAAAGTTACCATACTGAGATGCATGCTGCAACGCTGGTCGCCTGAATGCCTGATGCATGCACGTACAGCTTATATAGTAACTAAATGATTAATTTTTGCATTTATTTTTCAGCAATTAATTACCGGCAGCGGTGATGGTGGATGTCACTAATTATGGTAAACCCTGATGACTGCTGCATGCACCTGGGCGCTTGATGGATCAGAACCGGTGCAGCCATGGTGCGGTTGGTCAGCCTGGCTACAAAAATAAGGTATTCTGCAGAGTATACTCTGTACACGCCACTGCACAAGTCAAAGACGCGAAGGCTCCAGCTAGCTAAGGGCATGCATCAGACTGTGAGACTGATTAATTAAACCACAGCTGGCTACAGAGTATACTCTGTACACGCCACTGCACAAGTCAAAGACGTGTGTGCATGCTTTTCGTTTTACCAAATCCTTTTTTCCTTGTGGAGTTGTGGCGGGTGGATT